GGAGGACTGCGGGGAAGGAGGCTGCACCTGAGGGGCTACCGAGGGGGGAGGGGTAGCCTGGGACACACCTGTCGGGGCGGGACCAGGGGGGGGAGGCTGTACCGGGGGAGCAGGAGGGGGAGCGGAAGTCAGGAAGAGAGGGGGAGGAGGAACCGGGAGACCTCGACTGGGGTACCTGACGTAGTAGGGGGTGGACTCCTCGAAACGGACGTCACGGGAGTCAAAGAACCGGTGAGAGGGAGGGTGGTAAAAGGTGAAGTCAGAGGAGTCCTCTGGGAAACCAAGGAAGACACAGGGAACCGCGCGAGGCGAGAGCTTGTCCGCGGAAGTGTCGCGGACAAGAGCCAAGCAACCCCAGACACGAAACCTCGACGCAACACCATGGGACCCGGTCCAAAGACTGGTCGGTGAAGCCTCTGGCCGAGAGACGCGTGGCCAGAGGTTCAGCTGGTGAGCGGCGTACCTAACCGCGTAGGGCCACAGAAAATGGGGGGCACGGGCGTGAGTCAAGGAGGTGCGGGCGATCTCCATGACCAAGCCTATGCGGCGCTCAGCAACCCCATTCTGCTGTGGGGACTCTGGAAGCGTCCAGGACTGACGAATGCCCTGCTCGCGACAGAATCCAGCGAGAATGCCGGAGCGAAACTCACCCCCACGGTCAGAGTGAAGACAGCTGACACGACGAACACGAGTGCCCTCAGTGGTAAGCAACCACCTGATCAGCGTAGAAGTCACCTCAGACTTCTTCGCCAGGGGGAACACTGTGGTGTAGCGGGAGTAGTCGTCAACGACCACCAGAAAGAAACGCTCGCGCTCAGGGCCAAGGTGAGGGGCGGGGCCCCAGACGTCCAAGTGGAGCGTCTCAAAAGGCTCGGTGGCCGGACGAAGGGAGGAGGAGTGAGGGGTGGCTCGCAGCCGACCCTCGACGCAGGGACCGCACGACGGTGCAAGCGAAGGCGGCAGCAACGGCAAGACACGCGGGAGGCCTAAGACAAGACGCTGACGAGACATAGCGCGCAGACGAGGGAGGGACGGGTGCCCCGTCCGGTGGTGCCCCAGAACGGTGGGGTGTGCAAGCGACCGGCAGGAGCACGACGCAGCAACTGGACCAGACACGGGAACCTGACCAGACACAGCTACCTGGGGGGACGCAGCAACCTGGTGAGACGCAGGGACCAGACTGGGGGAAGTAACCGGGGCCGGGGGCAGGAGTCGCTGTTGCTGCTGCTGCCGCTGCTGCTGCTGCTGCTGCCGCTGCTGCTGCTGCTACTGCTGCTGCTTCTGCTGCTGCTGCTGCTGCTGCTGCTGCTGCTGCTGCTGCTGCTGCTGCTGCTGCTGCTGCTGCTGCTGCTGCTGCTGCCCACCAGGGCCAGTGTGAAGTGTGTAGAGACCAGAGCCCGGCTCGGCAGTAAAGGTGGCAAGAGGCGAGTAAGTGTCGCCGTTAACACAAACCGCCGTCTCACCAGAGGGCTCAATCCACACACCCACGTGCTGACTCACAAGAGGCCTCACGCCCACCAAGTTCCTCGAGAACGAGGGGACGTGGAAGCCAGTCAGAGACCCAGAGGGAACAACAGGGCAAGGAAGAGTAGTAGTGTAGCGAGCAGTGACTGGTCCCGAGGTGGGATCAGCCAGGGCCACAGAGACTGGCACAGGAAGTGGAGTAAGTGTCATGTAGTCGCGAAAGAAGCAGTGCGAAGCCCCAGAGTCCAGAGTGAAAGACAGCGAAGCGTCCTCCGAAGTAGCGCCTGGACTAGTGTCTACACAATTGCCTACACTAGCAACAGGCAACTCAGCAAGACTAGTACCTAAGCTAACAACACTCGAGTAAACAGAGTCAGCAGCACTGGAGTTAAAAACAGCATACATAGCATGAGGAGTTTCTAAGAGATCAAGCAACTGAGAAGCAGACATGCCCCAAAGAGCGGAGCCGTACGTCTGAACAAGAGGAAACCAGTCAGGGGCAGGGCCGCCAACGCCGAAGGCCAAGCGAACCGTGTCAGTGAGCTGAGCAAAGCACTGACCAGGAGGGTGGGTGCGGCCACAAGGCTGGCCTCGGCGAGCACCTGTCAGAACCTGATAGGTGCACGAAGGGTGAACAACACCTCGCTGGGGCTAACGCTGTCCCGGCCCCGAAACCTGCTGCTGCCGCTGCTGCTGCGGGGGCTGCTGCAAGGGGAGGGGCTGCTGCTGCTGCACCTGCCAGGTACCACGCCGCTGCTCCACCCACCGCGGCCGGCAGACCAGGAGGAGGCTGACGAGTCCGGGTGTCGCCTCCATCAGCTGCAGTAGGGGAGTCACTGGCCGCTGCACGAGACGCCTCTCCAGGCCCTGCGCTCCCGCCGCCACCGGTCGGCACGCCACCCCCACCACCTCCGCCGCCAACGCCGCCACCGCCGCCGCCGCCTGCACCCTGACTGCTGTCAGTAGATCTGCACTGTGGATGCCCGATTGATCCTAGGGGGGTTACAGGCGCGTTTGCCTGGGGGGTTATGGGCGCACTCTGACCCGCTACTTAACAAGCCCTTTTATCCCAATGGTCTAGTGGTTGGGATTCTGACATGGTATCAGAGCAAAGGTCTCGGGTTCGAATCCCAGTGTGTGCACTTCGGGCATCCCAGTGCGGGGGGGGTGTCAGAGGTCCACTGGTGATCCCCGATCGATCCTAGGGAAGGGTTATAGGCTCGTTGTCCTGGGGGGGTATGGGCGCACTGACCCGCTACTTAAAAAGCCCTTCTATCCCAATGGTCTAGTGACTGGGATTCTGACACGTTGTCAGAGAGGTCTCGGGTTCGAATCCCGGTGTATGCACATGTAGGCCGTTGCCGCTGTGCTCAGTCCTGGGCCTCCCAGTGTGGGGGGGTGTCAGTAGATCTGCACTGTGGATGCCCGATTGATCCTAGGGGGGTTACAGGCGCGTTTGCCTGGGGGGTTATGGGCGCACTCTGACCCGCTACTTAACAAGCCCTTTTATCCCAATGGTCTAGTGGTTGGGATTCTGACAACTGCCCCTCCTGCCACCCCTACCTCGAGACCGCGACGTAGTCGTAACAGCAGCTGCGGTCACGTTAGTAGTGGCAGTGGCTAGCGAGGCAGTAAAAGTGGGCAGCTGAGGGACAGTGCACCCGTGAAACAGTGGAGGGGGCACAGCACCAGAGGCGGAGGCTACTGAGCGGAGGTTGCTCTCGACGTCCTTGAGCGTAGACTCAAGGACCTCGATAGTGAGCTCACTAGGGTGCTTCAGAAGAAGCGTGTCACGAACCGAGGCAAGGCGGTCAGGGAGGCTAGTGGCAATGAAGTAGATAGTAATCGCAATGGGAGGGGGAAGCAGTGCAAGCTGTGCGTCAGTGCAAGCAGCGCGGTAGCTAGAATCGAGCGAGCGGAGGTGAGCAATCAAGTCAGCAGAGCGCTCAAACGAGGCGAGGTCAGGGAACAAGAACGGTAGGAAGAGGCGGCCAAGAGAGACAGTGGTGGGAGTAGCGTAGCGGGCCTTGATCGCAGTCAGGAACTCACTAGCAGTGCGAACTTGAGTGAAGTGGGCCTCCTCAGACTCAGGGAGGAGGCTGCTAAGAGCGATGCAGGCCGCAGCGTCACGCGACTTCCACGCCGTCATGTCAGCACACTGGCGGGTAAAGCGGTCTCTGGCGGCGTCGTCAGGGGCAGGGCCTAAAGGCGTAGGGTCGTCAGGCGCAGGAAGGTCACCAGTAGCGTGCGCCCAGAGGGACTCGCCCGCCTGGACCTGACTCTCTAAAAAGCGACGCGCGCGTAGGAGCCAGACCGGAAACTCGAGCGGTCTACCGTCAGCGTCAAAACGAAGAACCCTAGGGGTCGCCATAGCAAAAGCAAAGAGGTGGGAAGTGCTGCTGCTGAAACCCTAATCGCTGAGAGCGACTCAGTAGGGCGCTACGGGACATAGGGTAGGGCGCTACGGGACACAGAGTAGGGCGCAACACTGCTGGACTAGGAGGGCGCAGCGCCACGGGCAGGGGTAGCGCGACGCGACGCAGCGGGACAGGACGGGCAGCGCGACGCGACGGGACGGGACGGACTGCGCGACGCGGACGGGCAGCGCGACGCGACGCGAAGGGACGGGACGGACTGCACGACGCGGACGAACGGGACGGGACGGACGGGCAGCGCGACGTGGACGGACGGGACGGGACGGACGGCGCGACGCGGACAGGCAGCGCGACGCGGACGGACGGGACGGGACTGAAGGCGCGACGCGGACGGGCAGCGTGACGCGGACGGACTGGACGGGACGGACGGCGCGACGCGGACGGACAGCGCGACGCGGCGGGACAGTTGGAGCGACGTAACGGCAGGCGCAGCGGGCGCTGGGGCACGAGAGCGACGTAACGGCAGGCGCAGCGGGCGCTAGGGCACGAGAGCGACGTAACGGCAGGCGCAGCGGGCGCTAGGGCACGAGAGCGACGTAACGACAGGCGCGATAGGCGCTAGGGGACAGTACGAGCGTAACGGACACTAGGGTACGGGACAGGCTCGGGCGCTACGGACGTGAACGAGAGGAACGGGATCCCACAGGAACGGGTTGGGGTACATATAACAAACCCTAACATCTGTACCCCCTAAGACAAACCTCACTACAGGCTACAACATTTGACAGAGAGTTGCATGAGCCGTTTGAAAAATGAGAGACGTGGGTGGAGGGAAATGAGCTCCAACCCACAATTTGTAGTTGGAGAAGGGCGTTTAGGGCGCTTCGACGATGCCAAATCTGCGTTACATGCAGCTGCGCTTTCGAAATATGTAATTAAAAAAAACACTTCGTGTCTTTAAAAATTATCATTTTTTGTAATTCAGGCTTCGGGTTGGGCTTTAAGATTTGTTTCTGCTGTTAGTCAGTCCTTGATACAACTCCACGACGACCTCCGCAATCTATCTTGTGCGTTGAAAACAGATCTACTAGACTGACAGAAGCGGCGGTGACTTGGAACTACTGAACCTTGATACGCTACCATCGGCACTGCACCTGCGATATGTCTTGCCTCAGCCCGTCGGCGTCTCGGCAGCAGCAGCAGCAGTCGGAGTCATTGCCGCAGGTCCGGTCGCAAGCGGAGGAGGAATGTTCGGCTGTGTTTTCGCGCATACCCGACGATCTGCTCGCCCACATCCTGCTACTCGTCGCATCCAACGGCACCAATCTCAGATCTGATCTCGCAACATCAGGTCATGATCATGCTCGTGTCGATTACACCTGGGATCCAAACTCCTGTATTTTCATGACCCCTGCGCCGCCCGGAGTCACTTCGTCAACGTCAACGTCAATGCCAGCGTCAGCGTCGTCGTCATCGTCGGCACCACCCCCTCAGCCGCTGGTTTCCTTCGATCTCGCTCTCGTCTCTCAGCGATGGCTCCGCGTGGCGCGCTCCGTGCATCCCGCGATCGTCGTTCAAAGTCATCGCCGCATCTCATCGCGACTGCTCGCGTCAGCCCTCCTCTCAGCGCCGCCGTCCCAACACCCCTCTCCTGCCGCACCCAATCCGCACCACCCCTCGTCGCCATCCCACCCTCCTCCTTTCCCTCCCTCCCCCTCCCCGTCCCCCTCTTCCGCGCGCTTCCCCAACCTGCGTCATCTACATCTCGGGCGCGACGCACTCGATGCGATCGACGCCTCGCTTCTCAACGCCGTCGCCTTGGGCTGCGGCTCCACTCTAACGCACCTCAGCATCGCCGAGGACGCGAACAAGCGGCAGCAGTCGCCTGCTACCGTTCAGCCGTGCAGCAGCAGCAGTGGCGGCAGCGGGAACAACGGAGGCGACGGCGGCGGTGGTAGCGGCAGCAGCAGCAGCAGCGGCGGCGGCGGCAGCGGCGGCGGCAGCAGCAGCAGCAGCAGCATTTCTATAATTTTCGACCATTGCACACGATTGGTGGACCTGACGATTTCTCTGCCCGTTTATTTGCTCCAGATGCCCGTTCCCACTCTGCCCGCATCCATCAGCGGCTTGCAGCAGCTGACGCGGCTCAGCATGACTCTGCCGCACGAAGTCACCGAGTTACCACCGGAGTTCGGCAGCTTGCAGTCTCTCAGGAGCCTAAGGATCGTCACGCCGTCACTCACCACGCTTCCTGGCACTTTCGGGGGGCTCACGTCCTTAGAAGAGCTCGAACTTGAGAATTTGGTAGTGGATCGTCTACCCAGCGGCCTATGGCAGTTGACAGCAGTGAGGAAGTTGGTCTTTAGGATGATGGAAGAGCTGCTTGCGTTGCCCGCCTCTCTTTCTCAACTTTCACTCCTCACTCACCTCCAGATTCACTGCTGCGGCGAGTTCTGCCGCCTGCCCGAAAGTTTTGGGCAGCTGCAGCAATTGAGGGTACTCCAGCTGTTTTCGGTGGGCGGGCTTCGTGAGCTTCCAGAATCTTTGGGCGATCTGCCCGAACTGACCGACTTGGAGATTCGTAACTGCCGGTTTCTAACCATGCTGCCCAGGTCATTACCTTCCATCGCCACCCTCCAACGGCTCATCATCCACGACTGTGGAGAATTTTCCTCGTTGCCCGAGAACATCGGGCAGCTTCTAAATATTGAGGAACTGGATCTTGAGTCTCTTGATATAACTGCCATTCCTAACAGCCTGGGGCGCCTTACCTCGCTGCAGAAGCTGAGGCTGTGGGACTGCTCGAGGCTCCTGCGCCTCCCACGGTCCGTATCATCCATGCTCTCACTCACCACCGTCCGCTTGGATGGGTGCGTTGTGGACCAACTCCCAGAGGATTTCGGGCTGCTTCCGAATCTTCGTTTTCTGGAGCTGTCCCGCCTTGAGATACTTCATTCGTTGTCCAGATCCTTCGGGCAGCTGAAATTGTTGAAGGAATTCAACGTGACACGCTGCTCGGCACTCACTCTCGCTTCAGGTTCCACATTCGATCTCTCTTCGCTTGAGACTCTACTCGTTCGAGGCCATACACCAATCGGATCGTTCCCTTCCAGCTTCGGGCAGCTGCCAAACCTCCGCGACCTTGATCTCAGTGCCGGCTGCGAATTTGATATTCTGCCCGACGCGGTCGCCAGCCTGCCCAAGCTGGAGGTGCTGAAACTGAACAGAGGCAACTGCTTCGGACGAGGCCTTCAGCACGTGCCCAGAGACTTTGCTCAGCTGTCTCCCGCCCTTCGCATCCTGGAGCTAGACGGACTCAGGCAGCTTGACTTCATCCCTGCGTCCCTGACGCTTCTCACCCGCCTGGAGCGTCTGAGCATTGCAGACTGTGAGCAGCTGCAGGGGGTACCACAGGGCTTGGGCAACCTGGCTAGTCTCACGGAGCTACAGATGAGTTCCTGCCCCAGGCTCCACCTGTTCCCATCGCTTCTCCCTGCTCCGTCGTCTCTTGCACCGCTTCCCAGTGCTGCAGCTTCCCTCACTGCTGTTCTCACCTCCTCAGCTGCTCCTGCTCCTGCTGCTCCCTCCACAGCACCCATCACCACCACACTGGATACCTCTGCCCTTACCTCCGTCTGCTCTTCTCACACTCTCCCTGCGCGCAATCGCTCTTCCCACTCAAAAATGCATCCGCCCCTCCCGTCCCTCCTCCGCCTGTCCATCCGCGACTGCCCGTTGCTCATCGCCCTCCCCAGCGACCTCCATCAGCTGCCACGTGTCAAGTCATTCCACCTTGAGAACTGCCTGAATCTAAAACCCATGCTCCCTGCTGCATTGTCCTCCGCCCGTGCTGATTCTTCCACTGCTGCACCTGCTGCAGACCCAAGCTCAGCAGCACCACCGCTATCCTTCCCCGCGTCCCTCACCAGTCTCACCATCTCACGAGCCTTCCACCCGGCCACGTGCCTTCCACGCTCCCTCCTCACCCTCTCGCACCTTCACACCCTCGCAGTGACTCACCTGCCCTCGCTGCAACAGCTAACCTTACCCACGGAAGGCGGTGTCAGCAGCCTATTGAGCCTCCACACACTGGTTCTTTACAGATGCGATGCCTTGTCATCCTTGCCTGCTTCCCTTCCCTCCCTGCCAAGTCTCTCCCGGCTCATCGTCCAAATGTGCCCGCGCCTCCTGCACCTGCCTGAGAATCTCGGGCAGTTGAAATCTTTGGAGGAGCTGGCCGTGGTACACTGTGAGGGTATGGGAGAAATCCCCTCTTCCCTCACTCTGCTCACCTCCCTGAACCAACTGAGCTTTGTAGGCTGCCCTAAAGTATCCTCCCTCCCAGATCATGTCTCCTCCCTCTCCTGCCTCAACTCCCTCCGTCTCAGCCGTCTGCCTTCTCTCCTGCACCTCCCCTCCTCCCTCGCTCTCCTCCGCTCCCTCCGCTACCTCTACCTGGAAGGCTGCTCCAATCTGAAGGCGCTACCTGAGGGCTTGGGCAGGGAGGGTGCACTCTGGAGAGTTGATCTGGATAAATGTTCGAGCTTACAGAGCCTGCCGGTGGCCCTGCGCACTGGCAAGGTGGTTGTTAGTGGGCCATGGGGGGCAGACTGCATACAGGCTGCTAGAGATTACTAATTTTCTATCGGTGTTAGAATCCTCCACAGGGACATCAGTAGATAGATATGGGGTTGTGCAAAGGGGGAGGGCAGGGCTCAGGTTTGAAGTGTAATTTACCCTTCTATACTGATAAGAAGGGTGAAATTTTCAGTCTACACTGATGGGCTGGGGTATTTTTTTGGGGGATTAGTGTTACACTGATACCGTATGACCCCGGATATAAGCGCAGGCCTATTAAAAGCGCATGCGCTTATATCTGGAGCAATGCGCTTATGGCCGATCCTCATTTATAAGCGCACCCCTTATAAAACCGTGATATATTATAAGCGCATGTGTAATTTTATTTTTAAATCCTTGATAAACATGGTAACGAATTTCAATTTTGCAACGAGGCCATTTTCGCTTACGTTGACTTTCGAGGACCTCACATCCTGCGCGTCCAGTCAGCACGAGCTGGCACGCCCTCAAAGTGAGGTGTTACACTGTACTTTGCCTCTGTGCGCCGGCAGTGAATCGCTCGCGGGCGCGATTCTGATCTGTGACACTTTACAATTTCGATTCGATTGAAATCGCAGGGAAGAGATGTACAATTTGGTGTTTTTAAATTATAGATTTGTATTTGTCATTTTATAAGCGCATGCGCTTATATTTTTAACTCAATTGTAAGCGCACCCCCCTAAAAAACACTGTTTTATTATAAGCGCATGTGCGCTTATATCCGGGGTGATACGGTATGTCAGTGTAATGATTTAGGCCACACTGATGCTCTGGGGTAAAATTTCCCTTAGCGAAAATTACCCTGAAGAGCGTACAGGGAACCACCCCCCCTTCGGAAACTCTACCTATCGAGATGAAGGTTCTCCGAAATTTCATATCGGTACACCCAATTTCGTAATGATGCACTACGACGGCAGCACGTGAGTACTGACGACCGACACCGCGTCACTCCGTGTCTGCTTGCAACCTACCCGAAGCAAAAATTGCAACCTGATTGGTCGAAGCTGCACTCACTGCAAAACTTCAACTCCCTCGACTCCGAAATTTGGGACTCGATCGAGGTCCCCAAACACATGTTCCCCCCGGGAAGCTTGCTGACTCGGCGAAAAAACCAAGTGTTGCAGCGAAACCAGACAAGCAACTGCGCTCGACTTTCACAACAACCCCCACCCACCAGTGCCCACCTTGCGCAGGATTAGTAATCTTGCGCAATTTGGGCCTCGAGCTTGGTTGCTGCTACACATGATGCCCGTTCACTCACGCCATCTTTTTCGACATTGGGGGAGTGAAGCGAGCATCTAATTCGCGAGCGTTTCGTTAGTTTCGCCACGGGCAGAAAAGGGACTGTAAAGAACACCACTGTTACGCAGATATTTTTACTGCTACAGTTCTGGGTGGCTTCGTTTGTTGTACATCGGAAATCAGGGATGCAAGTGGGAGGTCGGAGCTTCCCAACCACTCGTCGTCAACTTTCCGAATCTTCCCGAGCCGCGAGGGCTTGTACATGACAGGCGGTTGCCCGTCACCAAACGTGTAAGGGACAGCGTCGGGTTTGGGCCCAGCAGATGTCTGCGATTCGACTGAGCATCATGTGTAGCACCTACAGTACAATCAGGGTAAAAAATATACCTACACTGATGCCTCTGGGTAAAGTTTTCAAAACTTCAAGTTACACTGATCCATCAGTGTTACCAAAAAAGACACACTGCTCAGAAGGGTTTTGAAAATGTCTACACTGCTAATCGTGAGTAGGTAAAAACCAAACCTGAGCCCTGGGGGAGGGGCTTAGGGAATGTTCACTTGCTGCTTGTGTTGAGATGAAGTCGTTCGATCGAACTACAGTATTATCGTAGTATTACTGTAGGTTTATGTTACTGTCTGTAGCATGTGTCCCTTCGAGAGTGTAACAGACAGTAGAGCAAGTAGTCTCGTGACCAAGGCTAATTTTATCAGTGTAAATCACCTTCATACCCTGGTTATCAGGGTGAAATTTGATAGTCACATGTTTTTGTTTTTGTTGTAGACCTTAATTTTCTCAGAAACTGAAGGAACGGAATGATGTGATTAGGAAAGCATGGTGATACAAATAGCAAACCCTAAGTATGTTGTACTCTCTAAAGAGTACCTAACTACAGCCTACCAGTGATTATAACATTTGTCATACCCCCATAGGCTAAGTGAGGGCTATCCACAACGAGCAAGAAACACAACCGGTCACAAGACCAGTCGAGAGAAGCAACAAGATACAGCTCAGGGTGGATCACAAGGTCACCATACAGTCTGAGCACAATCAAGCGGCCACAAGGTTTGTTCAAGAGTTCACAAGTATATATAAATGCAAGTACAAGCAACAAGAAGCAAGCCTACAGCAAACGAAGGTCTGTCTCAAAAAGGCCTAACTGCAGACAGAACATGTGGTGGTCACTAGGCGGAAGGGCCTTGGTGAAGACGTATGCAGTGTTGGCCGGTGAGGGTTTAGGGTTTAGGGTATGGGCCCACCTGGCCTATGGGCCCACCTGCTTCCGCTCCTGTCCTGTCTGTCGCGCGCCCCGTGGCGCGCGACGTTTTTTTCTTCCCGCCACGCGCTCGGGGCGCATGGCGGTTTTCTGCTCGCCGCGCGCTCGGGGCGCGCGGCAGTTTTCTGCCCGCCGTGCGCCCCGAGGCGCGCGGCGGTTTACTGCCTCACGCGGCGCCCCGGGGGCCCGCGCGCTGCCCTGCCCGTCGCCCGTCGAGGCGCCCTGGGGGGCCGCGTGTCGCCCTGCCCGTCGCCCGTCGCGGAGCCCTGGGGGCCCGCGCGTCGCCCCCCCTCCCGTCGCCCGTCGCGGCTCCCTGGGGGCCCACGCGCCGCCCTGCCCGTCGCCCGTCACGGCGCCCTGGGGGGCCGCGCGTCGCCCTGCCCGTCGCCCGTCGCGGCGCCCTGGGGGCCAGCGCGTCGCCCCCCCCCTCCTGTCGCCCGTCGCGGCTCCCTGGGGGCCCGCGCGCCCCCCCCTCCCGTCGCCCGTCGCGGCGCCCTGGGGGGCCGCGCGTCGCCCCTCCCGTCGCCCGTCGCGGCGCCCTGGGGGGCCGCGCGTCGCCCCCTTTCGTCGCTCGTCGAGGCGCCCTGGGGGCCCGCGCGCCGCCCCGCTTCCGCTCACACGCCGCCCCAGCTCCTTCCCGCGTTTCTGCCCTGCGTTGGGGGTATGGGGGTGGCGGGTATGGGGGTGGCAGGTGTGTGAGCCGTCCCCTGCTCCTCCTCCTCCTCTGTCTCCCACTGCTGCAGCTGCCGCTGAGGGGGGTGGGTGTGTGGGAGCCGAGGGAGTGGCGCTAGGGGGGTGACGTGGGAGAGGAGCTAGGGGTGCAGCAAGGGGTGTGTGAAAGGGGGGTGGGACAGTTGGGGGAGGTTGAGCGGAGGCTGCCGTCGTGTCGTCAGCAGTGCCAGTAGTCCGGGGCTCTGCTCCAGTAGCCCAGCGAGCCTGCTGCGTCAGTCGCCCGTGGGTCCGTTGCTCCTGCCGCTCAGAGTTAGCCGCAGAGCCAGTTACTCCTGTAGTCCGAGGCCCTTTGCTCCGGTAGCCACCGTGCGCGCCGCTCCTGTTGCCCGTGTGTCTGCAGCTTCAGCCGTCGCCTCCTATCTCCTCTCCTCTTACAGTCCCGCCTCCTCCTCCTCGCTTGCCCTTTTGTGAATGCCTCTAGCTTTGCTTGTACTTGTGAACCTGCTCTTTGACTGCTTGCTGTGCTGATTATACCCCACTTTGACTATGGGGGTGTGTCAGAATGTTATGTTTCTCTAGTTTGCAGTGGGGTACTCTATAGTGAGTACAGCCCTGTTAGGGTTTGCTATATGTATCCCAATGTTTGCTAGTGAACTCTCTCTTTCTTGTTCTAACTTTCTAGCTGCTAATCTGACACAGGCGTGCGTGTCTGCGTCGCTGCAGCTCCCGCAGGAGAAAGTACCTCACGTCGATGCGCTTCATTCTGCTCTCCAGTCGAGGCTCTCGACACAGGAGGATCATGACCTTGTTATCAGCGAACAAGGTCGGAGAAGAACGAGGCGGCTCGCCAAGGTCAGTGAGCAAGAAGGTCAACCAGCAAAGCTCCTGCGCAGCCACGGCACCAGCGTAGATCTCTGCCCCTGCGCTAGACTGTGACACAAACGACGACCAAGTAGACCCCCACGACACATCTCCAGCGCCCAAGCTGAAGCAGTACCCCTAAGTAGACCACTGGGTCTCCACGTCGTCGGCGTAGGAAGAGTCGCAGTGACCGGTCAGCACAACAGGCTGTGTCCCTCCAAGCACAAGCCCCAAGCTTGATGTAGTCGCCAGGTACTTCGCCACCCTCACAGCAGCCGTCCAGTGAACATGACGGTGTCTCCTAGTCGCAACAAAGCGAGAATGGATGCTGAGGGGAAAGACAAAATCATCAGGTACATGAGGCAGCCCACAAGCCCTGCGTAGGGACCACTGGAATGAAAGGGCTCGTCGGGAAAAGGGCCAGTGAGTCTGTGGTCGACGGCAAGAGGTGTGGGCTGTGTGGTGGAGAACTGAAACCCGAACGGCAGAAGGACCTGCTGCACCATGTGTGACTGAGTCAAAGTGATGGTGCGATCGGCTCTGTCCCTGGTGATCTGCAAGCCAAGGTTGCGGCGCAGTTCACCCAAGTCAGTGCATGTGTGTCTCTTCTGTAGTTCGGACTTCACCTCAGCCAGAGCAGCCGTGTCAGTTGTAGCGAAGACCAGGTCGTCAACGTAGACAAGAACGAATAACGGGGTGGAACCTCTGCGAACAAACAGCGATGGGTCGGCGCACAAAGGACGGAACCCGAGGTCAGCAAGAGTAGTGCGTAGCGTGTCGTGCCACTCACGCGGCGCCTGGCAGAGACCGTAGACTGGTCGCCTCAGGCTCCACTGGGTCCCAGGTGGGAAAGTGCCAGTGAAGCCAGAAGGACGACGTAGCCATATCTCCTCGTGCAGGCGGCCCTGGAGAAAGGCAGTGGAGAAGTCGAGGGAGTGCAGCTCGTAGTCTCCCTGTGTTGCAAAGTGAAGT